GTTCAAACTCACCAGCCACTCCTCGGAAGGAAGGTTGGCCAATCTACTTCCATAGTGATACTGCCTCGGAAACCCAAGGAGGGGTCGCTATGAGTCAGGGCCGACTTGATGGCACATAACAACAACAGAGGGGTCGCTATGAGTCAGGGCCGACTTGACGGCACATAACAACAACAACAACTATATATATACATACACACACATACACACACACATATAACAATTGAACCATTTTCCTCACTTGTATTAAAAACCAATGCATGATCATGAGGTGTTTTCAGGACAACAAAACTATTCTGTATGAAGCTATAATGGTGGACACATGACATTACACATTTGTCAAAACCCATAGATATACAACACAAATTGTGAACCCTAATGTAAAATGTGGACTTTAATTAGTAATGTATCAACATTGGTATAGCAATTATAAGGAATGTAAGATGCTCATAACAGGAGAAACAGTGTGCAGCAGGTAAGGGGATGTAATAGAACTTTATATACTTTTGACACAATTTTTGTATAAATTTAAAACTGCTCTAAAAAAATATAGTCCATTTTAAAAATGCAGTATTCTACAGTGAGAAAAGTAGTTTTATTTGCCATCATAATGAAGTCATTAACAAAATAACCAATTGAAAATTTATAATTTGCCCAGTAGAATACATGTACAGTTATAAACTTTAAAAATATATGTGTTTTAGCCAACTTTCCAGATAACTTTATAATATTTCATACATTTAATATTGTATTCCATACAATATTACATTTATCCTTATATTTATCCTTATCTTTTACAAAGATTCTATTGGTTTTTATCCCTGGAGGATAACGATATCTATTATCGTTTTAGCAGACACTAAAAAATAAGATTCTTTCATAATGACTAAACATGACACAGGACACTTTAACATCTGTATAGAAAGAAAAATGTGAAAAATATGGTTATTCAATATTTAATTTCCATTGTTAAAAAAATATTTCACAGCATTAAAAAATTCTGTGGTGGTGTTGTGGTTGAGGCATTGGACTGCTAACCAAAACTATGGCAGTGTGAACTCACCAGCTGCTCTGCTGGTGGGCTTGAATCAGCAGAAAGACAAAGAAGTCTGCTTCCATAATAATTTACAGCCCTGAAAACCCTATGGGGATTGCTATGAGTCAGAATTGACTCAATGGCAGTGAGTTTGGTGTTTTTTATTGTTATTCTTGATACTTAGTTCATTAAAAAAATGGACCAATCACTCATGAAAGATAAGTCAGTGTTTAAATGTCTGTCACTAAAGACGGATGCATAATTTCCAAAGAAATATAAGAATTACTATTCAAAATATAAGTATAAATATATTTTGAAACATGTTAATTGAATTTAAATGTTGGAAGTGCCACATATTTGGAGTAAAAACTATATATGTTCTTCCTTTATGAAATCCATACATTATTTTTATTCTTTTAAATATAAAATTAAAGTTTATCTGAGGTAAATTGTTGTAAGAAATGCTTCAGAGTTGAAAGGGAAGAAAATCAATTTAAACAATAAAAGTCATTTAAACAAACTGGTATTTCTACCTGAACAGCATACTGTCATCTACCATATTCTACCTTACCTCAATGTAGAAATAGTCATTTATGATTAAAAAAAAAAAATTCTAAAGCTTACTATTTAGCCAGAGTATGGCTAACATTTGGTAGCTCACCTTTTCCCCAATTTCCCATATCTGTTTCCTTGTATTGGGTCTTGTACATGAAAGGGGACAATATAACCTTTCAAAGAGCTACTCCTGCTTAACTGTGATTAACTTTTCAATATGGAAATAGAGTCAGGAAATATTTCTTTCTAATGCCTTTTATTTTGTGTGACATATGTATGTTAATTAAACTTATAGTATGAAGAAAAAAAATACTACTGAATCCTAATTTGGCCATTGAAACTTTAGGAAATTTCAGTAAATTTAAAGAAGCTGACAGTGATTTTTGTACCTGCCTATATATGTAAGGGAAGGAGCTCTGGTGGCACAGTGTCTAAGGCATGTGACTGCTAACCAGAAGGTTGGCAGTTCAAATGCACTAGCTGCTCCATGGAAGGAAGATGGGGCAATCTACTCTGTAAAGATTACCACCCTGGAAACCCAGTGGAGGTTGCTAGGAGTCAGAATTGACTCAATGGCAGAGAGTTTTTTTTTTTGTGGGGGGGGTGATATTTATAATGATGGGCAACTTAAACAATAAAGAAATAAATATATTTTTAAAATATGCATACATAAATGCTGATGTAACTTGTTTTACTTCAATCTTTCAAAATTAGTTTCATGGGCTGGTGGTTCAAACCCACCAGCCACTCCTTGGAAGGAAAGTTGGGTAATCTACTTCTGTAGTGATACTGCCTCAGAAACCTAAGAAGGGGTCACTATGAGTTGGGTCAAACTTGGCAGCACATAACAACAACAATGACAACATTTGTATGTTGACTGAGTTAAAAGCAAGAGAGTTAAGAAACGCTTAATATATATATTTTTTTTAATTATCTGCTTTTGAAGCAAAATCAAGGGTAATAAAAGTATTTGATATAATTTTTTTACTTTCTAATACCAATGGTAAGGAAGGAAGAAGTCAAAGCTGCAATGAAAGAACTGGCGAAGAACAAGGCTCCGGGAATTGATGGCATACCGATTGAGATATTTCAACACACAG